ATTTTAATTTTTTATTATTAATTCTAATATCTTAATTACCAAAACGTTTTGATTTTTTTCAATTCATTTTATTTTTTATCTTATTAATTATGTTTAGCATAAGTCCCCATTAAAGACACAAACATGCATTAGTTAAAGTTCTGCTTAGTTTGGTTTGGGTTTTGAGTTTTAAGTTTTTATATTTTTTATATGTTTAATAATCATTATTATATTTAAAAATAAAAATTTATTACGTATAAAAATTTAAATTTATTAATTACTAAATATATAAAAAAACTAAAAATTCAAAACTAAAACTATACTAGAAAGAGCTTAAGAAATTAAAATTTTACCTTCAATAGATGCAATTAAAGGCACTATGTATGGAAGAAGAAAAAAAAAATTAAAGACACTCTATATGTAAATAGCAAACAAAGAACTGTGCAATTCTTTTATGTGGATACTCACTCACTAGACATTAAGTCCCACTTGTATTTCATTACAATCTCTAAATCAAAAATTGCATTTCTTCTGCACTTAAGTAAAATGTCATTTTCCACATCTTGTAGAAGTTGACATAGTGATTGTAGTAGTCCCTTTATTTTTTTTTTTTAGATACAAGGCCATTATAATCCTACTGCCTATTACCTCTGCGTAAATGACATTATTTTAAATACTTAAAAGTTAGGACTATTTTTTTAACATTAGTTTTTTTTTCCTTTTTTTTTTAATAAAGAGTTTTTAACATTTCTTTTAGCTAAAAGTTGCAAGTTACCTCGGAATTATATAGATGATATTTTATAAAGCTTTTCAAGTTATTTTCAACGCAATAACGATAGTAAGGAGGATTATTAAGTTATAATGATGACATAATTGAATGTGAAAACTTACAAGTTACTTTGAGACTAGCAACCATTCTAACTAGGGTTGGTGTCTTCTTGCTCTTGATTTATGTGATTTCTATGATTATCTTGAAATACAATGACGTTTCAATCAAGATTAACAGTCATTAAAAATTAATCCATCACTTGATCTCATAAAAAGTTATTTATTGAATTAACAATTGATTGATAAAAACTTCTTTGTATTGACTTGATTAATTACATAAAAAAATTTAATTTAGAGTAAATTTTAAGATTTAAACATCTACGATTTAAACAACTAATTATTTGATATATAACACCTGACTCGTTAAGTTGAGTGATTCTTATCATCTTATTAAGGTGCAGTTCTCCCTGCTCTTGGAGTTAGGTTGAAATCGCATAATACGTTGTTCCAAAAAAAGTTCTTTGATATATATATATATATATATAAAGCAATTGAATCTTATGGAAACCATTTCAATTTTCAAAAAATGAAAAAAGAAAAAAAAGAACGCATGCATGAGGTAATTTGCTAGCCTCTCTCACTCTCACGTTAGGACTATTTGGATTCGAAGGATGATTAAGCCCATTTAACGACATAACATAGCATAACATGGTCCTTCTTGGGCTTAGGCCCACTGGTTATTCAATTTTGGTCCATGAGGGCCAGTGTTTATGTTGACAAGGTTTTCTATTTAGGTTTATAGTTATTGCCTTATTGGACTTGAATGTGAGCTACGACTGGCCCATAGAATGAATTCTCAATTTCTCACTATAAAATATAAATCAGTGTGGTCTAATATCGGCCCACTCTAGTCTCCAGGCGTTCAACATGGGCCACCACAATGTCCAGTATCGTTTTTTACCAGGACTTCGGTATGTGGCTATGTGCTAATGTAGAGGCCCATTTATTGAACAAATGAAGGCAAGCAAGAAAAATAAGGGATTTTCTATCCTAATAAGTATTTATTAAGGGATTTTATATTAATTATAAAGAAATCTTTATGAATTAAGTCATTGTAATTAATTAAGGGTTTTTTATTTTTGGTAAGACTAAAATGCCCTCATTTGTTTACACTATAGACTCCTTTTTTTCGGCCTTTGTCTCCATCTTCCATTCTCCTCTCCTCAGTTCCCCAAATTTTCTCTCTCCTACTCCCCAGTCTAACCCAATTGAAACTCTATTTTTTATTTTTAATGTTAAATTTTATAGACTTTCAATTGGGTTAGATTGGGGAGTAGGGGAGAGAAAAAATTTGGGGAACTGAAGAGAGAAGAATGGAAGAGGGAGATGAAAGAGTGGGGGAAAAAAAGGAGTTTGTACTTTGTAGTGTAAACAACTGAGGGCATTTTAGTCTTACCAAAAAATAAAAAATCCCTAATTAATTACAATGACTTAACCCATAAAGATACCTTTGTAATTAGTGTTAGATCCCTTAATAAATGGTTATTATCTTGTGCCTTAAAGGCACAGGATAAAAAAATCTCAAAAAATAAATCCCTTGTATTTTTAAAATTGATATTATAATGCGAACATTATATTATAAATTTATAATATAATATATTTTTATATAATTAAATTTTTTTATTTAAAGATACATTTATAATATTATATATAACATTCATTTATTTAATAATATATTATTATAAATAAATCCCTAAGATGTTTTCTAGCTTTATTCTAGTGCATTGAAATAATTTAACCATATCAAAATTTAGTTTGAGTATTAAACAAGTTTTGTTGAGACAAATTTATCAAATCATGTTATGCTAAGGCCTTAATAGACATATAACTTTCATAATTTTTCTCAAATCTAATGTGGGAATATGATTGACAATGGCAATCAAGTCTTCTAATTGCTAAGAATCCTTTCCTTTTTTTCTTTTTGTTGCAACATCTTTTTAATAACGCTAATTAAGCTATGTCTTAGTTTCGTGCCATATGTATACATAGATAGCTTAAAAGCTAATGATCAACGCGTAGTAGCATGCGTGAATGATGGAGGGGGGACCCTAATGGAAGTGGTCATGTT